TTCATAAAACCCATTCTATGCAGAGTCTATATTTTCTTTTTTTTTTTTACGATTTTTGGAATACACGCGCTGAAATCAGCCAGGGTTGGGAGTTAGGAGTGTCTTCTGGTTGGAATTGTTGTCCTGGGCAGTGGATGATGTTGGGGATGGGAATGGGAGCAGCAGCGGAGCTGTTCGGCTTACAGGCAGTAAACCGCTTTGACCACCGATCCCTGCTTGGACATGGAGTCCTTGTGCAGCTGGTATTGCAGCTGGAGGGGCGGCAGGCAGAGCAAATCGCGCAGCTTCAGGCCAATCTCCATGACGGCCTCCTCGTTGTACCCGTTGGCGGTCCAAACCGCTGTAGGATGGATAGGAGGAGTTGCGTTAGGAGTTGCTTTAGGAGATTCCATGAATGTCATCACAAAACAGAAGCTACCAAGGCTTGGGACACTCAAGAAAAGTAGGTGGAAATATTTAAAATTATTTTTAAATGATTATTTAGAACATCGAGTTAATAACTACTTAAATACCAAAATTAAAGATCAAATATAAATTGATAATAAATTTCTAAAGAGAAGCTATAAGCTTAGAACATGTTAAATAAATTAAAGTTTCCTTTAAAACCCTTTAAAAAAAAAGGGTTTTTCTTCTATAAATATAAATCTTTATGTTGAAAATCCTCTATACTTTTTCCCTCAGTGCATTATACTTACAAATTTTGTTCGTTTTGCCACGCAAGTTGATAACTGCCCCGCAGACTTCTTCAGTGTGATCAAAGGCCTCGCCAATCAGTATGAGTAGCTGTCAGCGGGCGAGGAGAGTAGGTTGAGATTGTGTTGTTGTGAGGAGGAAGCTGGAAGCTGCTACAGATACGACAGCCAAAGGACACAAAGCCACATGGCCACATGGTCACTTACCACATCCAGCCAGAGCTTGTCGAGCTCCACTTTGGAGCCACGCCCTCTATTGATGACCCAGCGGCCGCCGTACTTGTTGGCCTCATCCTCCCACATGGGCCTGCAAGGGAACGAGGTAAATATGGGTTAAAAAGGGTTTTAAAAAGGCTTAAACAGAATTTAAAAGTAAGCTGAAAAAGGACACTCACTGCGTTCCCTTCTTAAACAACGAATAATCGCTGCCTATCTTGATCTCCGACGGTGGCTTGATGTGATTGTACAGGCTCCAAAAGTCCTCGACCATGTCAATGCTGGTGATCTCGTTCTGCAATTCCTCCCAGGACTTGCTGCGATCGTTCTCCAAATACCAAAGCGTCCAGGTGTGCTCTAAGGGATGCTTGATGCGCATATCAAACGGCTTGAGCAGCTTTAGCTCCTGATCTTGGCACTGTTGGGCCTTGGAATGTGACTGTAACTGGGTCTGCGTCTGCGACTGGGCCTGGGAGTCCCCCTCATGGTCCAGCTTCTGGCGCTTGGTATCGGTTTGCTGCTTGGCCGCGATCATTTTTGTGTATATCTTTTTTTTACTTGATCGAATTTAATCGCAATTGGAGACACTATATCCGAGCTTTAAAATACAGTTACACACATACGCACACAACACGACAATGTCTACGGTGGCCTGGATGGATCCAGACTGAGGGAAGTTCCCACATCCCAGACCCAGACAGTAAAGGCAAAGGCTCTGAGAGGAGGGACAGTGCTCTGTCATCAAGATGAACCCAATTCATAATATTAATTGCAGGTAAATAAATGTAGACTCAGTGCCCAATAATTCAACCATAAAGTTTTATATGGGTCAATCAGGTAAACAGTGTAATTTCCTTCCTTCAAAGCAATTCTATAACAAAGAAGGAACACTTTAATGACTGAACATTATTTCTACAACTTTACTTTAGAATAAAGTAATATCTTTTATGTTAAATTTCTAATTACGAATGGTATAGAATATAATAGATTTTAATATATATTCCGTAATGCTTTCTTAAATGTTTCCAAGTTGAAAAGGCGTTGAAAACCCATAGAAAATAGACAAAAATTCCAACTAAGCTCACACGGCGGGATTATTTTTATACCCTTGCAGGGTATTATAATTTCAGTCAGAAGTTTGCAACGCAGTGAAGGAGACGTTTTCGACCCTATAAAGTATATATATTCTTGATCAGCATCAACAGGGGAATCTTTCTATATATGTCAGGAAGAAATCGATTTTTTGGTCATTTTTGCAAAATTTGATAAGGGGTTACATCATTAAAATGTTTGATTTTGATAAAAAATTGAATTTTCAAAATTTTTATATAAAGTATGCAGATTTATTAACTGTAGAAAATCTTGCACAGAACAGTTTTCCGATTTAGAATTAATGTTCTTTTGGCCGAGTTATGATATTTTTAATTTTAAAAAAATCAAGAAGTTTTTTTAATATAAAATATCAGATTTTATAATACAGCATCAACAGGGGAATCTTTCTAGACATGTCCGGAAGAAATCGATTTTTTTGCCATTTTTGCGAACTTTTATAAGGGGTTACATCATTAAAATTAGCAAAAATAGCCAAAAAATTTGATTTCTTAAAGTTTTAAATTTGGTATGCAGTTTTTTTAAATTAATAAAAATTAACACAAAACTGCTTTCCGAATCGAAATTAATGCATTTTTGGCATAGTTATGATATATTTTAATTGTCACCTGCAAGGGTATACAAACTTTGGCTGGCCAAAGTTAGCTTTCTTTCTTGTTTTATGTCTATTTTAATTTATTTGTTAACCAATAAAATAATTATAAAACGTAGGGACTGACACCAACAACAAACATAACTTGGAAACATAACAGCAATATTTCAGTTATTGGTGCCTCCTTCTTGACAAAAGATCGTCTGGATGTTGTCTCTTTAGCCTTCGTCTGGTCATGGGGCTGGTGATGCCGCTAGGAAGTCGATGGATCTGCTCCCTCACTGTTAGGATGAGGAAGTCGTTTGCAATGTCTGCATTTCTTGAAAACCAGGGTGCATTTGTGATCGTTCGCCACGTAAGGTAAATTGCTTGAGCAAAGCCTTTCAGCCAGTGATTCTTTATATGTGCTTAGATCCCTTTCTGTCTCTCTCTGGAGTCCATATATATCTAATTTATATTACAATGCTGTTACCCCTAATAAAAAACTAAGAGCCCCCAATCAGCTTTTATGTTAATTTGGCAGAAGATTGGATAGTTGAGATAAAATAGAATAAAAAGGGTGGCAGTCTGCTAAAAAGATATGATATGTTCAAAGCACATCTACACATCGTGGCTAAAAAAAAAACTTGGGAACCTTATTAACAAAACTTTCTTAATATTTTTGGAATTTTTTAGATTTTGTTTAAATAGCAGTTTTAGTTGACAGATCATAGGAGCCCATGGAACTCAATGTCAGGCTGCTATCACTGTTTAAAACATTCACTTCAAAGGTTGGACTAACGTCAAAGGCTTCAGCAAATTCGGACAGCACCGTTTTCATTGCCGCTTTAACTTTTCCAAGCGCTAAAATTAGCATAACTACGACATGAACGGATTCTCCAAGATAACCAAGGAACAAAATAAACCATAAAAGTAAACTAAAAAATTAAATTAATTTAAAAAAAATTTAAATAAAATTACTTTTTCGAAATCTTAATTTTCTACTTTTGTGCTGGCGTTACCCTTGGAAAAAAAACAAAGAGCCGCCAATCAGCTTTTATGCTGATTTGGTAGAAGATAAGATTATCGAAATAAAATATATTTAAAATCAGGACCAACCAGGAGACCAGAGGAAAGTGAAGACTGGCATGTTGAAACTAAACTAACAAAAAATAAAATTTTTAAAAATATAAAACAAAAATAATGGCCAACAAGGGAACACACCTTGCCAAGAGAAAAATAAACCATAAAACTAATTAAAAAAAAAAAAATAAATTTAAAAATAAAAAACGATGAAGTTTACAGTGCCGAGGACGAAACTAAACTGAGGGAAAGCAGACCTCACCCCAGGCAGCTAAGGCAAAGACACTGAAAGGAGGGTCAAAGCCTACTTAATCGCCTTCAAGTTGAACCCAATTCATAACTTTCATTGCACGTAAATAATTAGACACTCGTTCGGGGCCATCTTCGGGCACTCATCTAGAGCCAGCGCCACTCAGTGTCCTTCAGCTGCAGGACTTGCTCTCTCTCTCTCTCTCTCTGCTCAGTCTTTCTAATTCAACTCTAAACTTTTTATGCTCTCTGCAGTGTGGCCTTTATTTTGGACACTGAAAAGAAAATTCTGGAAAATTACGAAAAGGATTCTCGAATTATAAATTTATATATAAATTACCTAAGAGGCTAGCCTCACTTGAATATCCTTTTATTTAATATTCTAAATCTTTTCTGTTAAGTTTTGTGTCCAAATATTTAGGCTTCGACTTTTTTTCGCTGTGCCACTTAATTTTGCGGACCCGTTCATGGCCATCTCGTTTGGCCTTGGAGATAAAAATCGAGCGCCTTATGCTTTCGTTCATATAAAGCGTTAATTTTACGACACTGAATGGAAGGACACTTGAGCGACTCCGACGAGTCCAAGTACAAGTCCAGAGAGAAATTTACGCACTCACACTTTCCACCCTCCGCCTGCCTGCCTTTTTTCCTAGGATTTTACGACAAAAAATAAGCAGAAGAAGAGGGAAAATAAGAGTGGTGATGGAAGAGGAAAAGGTGGAATTTCCCAAGGCTTTTGATGGTGTTGATAATGATGATGTTGCCTGCTATTGCCGGAGCTGTCGCCTTTTATGTCGCCTGCCATAAAAGTGAAAATATTATGAAGCTTGTTTCTGTGGGGCCCCGGACCGAGCCGGGGAACAATGAAACGGCTACGTAATTGCCGGCAAAGTATCTCCAAAGTCATCTATGAGGCAGTTCTTGACTTGTGCAATTGACATCGGCGCCCAAAACAGTTGCGATAATATTACAACAGCCCGCGCCCCGAAGTGCCGAAATGCTAATAATAGGCAATATCGAGAATTGAGACAATGTCTTCTTGGACTTTAATTTGACAGTCGAGTGACAGGTAGAAACACTTAAACAATATTCCGATGGAGCAGCAAGTATCCTTGGCGGTTCACAAAAACCCAAAAGGCGCAGAGGGAGAGGAGTCTGAGCAGGAATTTTGTGTCCAAGGTGACTTTATATATGGAAACCTTAAGGTGTTGCCTGATTTCCTGGTGCAACAGGATGTCAATCTGTGGGTTATATTTATTATAAGTAAATTTTATTTGGTATTTCCATTAACTCACAGTTCTGTCAAACTCCTGGTGATAGTTACTCATCTGAAAGTGGCAAAAACTTCTCGTTGTCCTGGACTCCCAGGATAGTATTCTAAAAACCGTGCAATGAAATATCAAGTTCAAAGCGGAAATTCCCAAGTAGTAAAAGTCCTTGACATTAATGGCTTTAAAGCAGTAAAAGGGTATCAACCCGTAGACCAGCCCACACAGCCAATGGAAGCGAAAGTGCTCTATAATTTTTTGTGTCAGCTGAAAGATTCTCACTCGAAGTTGAATTAATTCCTCGGTAATCGTGTGAAGCTGCTTCACCAGCACCAGAAACTGGCCACTTTCCAGGACTCTGGATTGCCTCAGCGAATCCAAATCATTGGAGATCCTGCGAGTGCAGCGATGCAACTCATTGTAGCTGGCTATGAGGACCACCAACAGGCAGAGATTGATGGTTATTTGAAGGAGGAAGGTAAGCAGGAAGGCCAGCAGAAATAGGAGCAGCACAGTGACTGTAAAACCCACGAATCCGACACCCAGACTGAGGTCAGCCAGCATGAGCAGGCATCGTAGGAGATTCTGTAGGCCCAGAATCAAGAGCAGCAGGTGTCTCAGCCGGAAGATATTCGGATGCCTGGCCATCACATTAACCTCTTCCACGACCTCAAGGAGCTCGTTGAGGAGCCGCACTAGATCCTTGCTAGCCCAAAAGCCCTGAACTCGAACTGCCAGCATCACGTAGGTGCCCACCAAGAGTGGCCATGTTTTTTCCACATGCAGAAGCATCAAACTGAAGCTTGCATACAGCAGCAACGACACAAAGGATAAGATGAGGCCTCCGTATATCTGGAGGGCACTGGAGGGACGAAAGCTCTTCTCGCGAAAGCTGTAGACGCAGGTGGTGATGCCGCAGAGTTGGGTCACCGCCAAGATGAGGAACAGCAGCTGACGCGTCCGGCGGTTGACAAAATTCACTTCCCTCATTGCGGCGAGGACAACAATTGATTTCACTAACGGGAAAGGAGTCCTGGAACAAGGACAAAGGACAAAAGGGAAGGGGCGAATGCCTCATTTGAATTATGACCGCACTTTAGCGCTGATGTACGGGCATTAATAAGCGCGGTCGAAGTTTTGATGGCTTAATCGATATTTCGGCAACTCTTGCTCCTGGGCCACCGCAGCGCATTCTGCGGTTGTCCTGCCTGGCTGCCTCGACGCCTGAAAGTATGCACGGTATTTGGCAACCAAGGACTTTAATTAGAGATAAACAAGGCTAAGTGCCAGGAGCTGCGGTCAATAATTTTGGTTGCTTAAAGGAATAAATGCATTTCCTTTAGGAAATCATATTGAAAATAAATTTATTGTTTATTTAAAAGGTTTTTCTTTTTGGTAAATATAACAAGTAAACTATTTTTTGTATAATTTCTATTGTAATTCCAATTTCCATGGCCATTAACCTGAATGACCAGTGAGTTATGCTGTTTGCTCCTTGAAAGAATCCAAAGTAATGCTTCTCCTCATACATATCTTTCCCAGCCCCCTTTTTGTTTGCCGCCTCAATAAAGAATCCGGAAAAAAGGAAATCCAGTATCCTGAATCCTGAATACGGGAGCCCTGTGATTCGGCCAGGAAAAACAATCTCAATCTCGTTTTACGCGCTGCCGTGCGGCGAGCACATTTAATCACGTAACATTTACGTTAAAATTTTATTGTGCGATGGAGACCGGCACCCGGATACAGGGAGTCCCTGAGTCCGTGGAGTCCGGATTCCACAGACCGGACTTGGACTCAATCCTTCGATCCTTCGTGCACTCAGCTGTGTGCGGTTTCCGTTACACATTTCGCGCCATTGTCCGAGGGCAAAAGGCGTGGCTGCCACCACCTATTCAAGGACATGCATGAGCCATCTCCTGGGCAGGCAGCTCATTTTGATTCGGAATCGAAGTATCCGCATCATTTGCGTTTGCCAGCGGACGGGCGAGCAAGCGAGCTGCTGGGAGTTATTGGCATATTTTTTAATGCTGCCGACAGGACACGGACCCCGGTTGAGGACGAGGGCAAACTGATATAGACAGTCTGTCAGTTAAGGGATGTGGCTGCTCAAGGAAGCAGGTATAAAACTACTATAGTAAAAGGAGAAAAGTCAGTAAAAGAGGAAAAAACAAAGGCAAGAAAAATCTTAATTAAAGAATGAAATATTTTTAATTTTTCCATAAATTTCTGGATGATATTTTAAAGACACAAAATCCATTGGAATGCATCAATTGTCAAATTGTCAATTGTCAGTTTGTTGCATTATCAGCGCTTTACGGCTCATTTGCGTTTTTGTACATGTGTAAACAAGGTTTGGCAGATGGTCGGTCCACCCCTCACAGGCTCACAGGATATCCCAGTTGATATGGCCGCCAGCCATCCACTCATCGTCATCGTCATTGCAGCCTTTTTACCAGCGGTGATTTATGAAATTTACAAACAATACCTCCGTTGCCTCCAATCCTGCAGCTGCATTTATTTTTCGCATATTTAATGAGCACAAATATTTTCACAATATGTAAATTATGAAACATACACTGGACCACGCGCAGCCGGAACTTAAAAATATGCCATTTGGCGCCTTATTAAGCGCTCATTACTCATGCTTTGGCAACGCGGAAATTTATGGAAATTTAAAGGTGACTGTGTCACCTGTACAACTCTTCTCCTGTCCCTGCTGCTGTGTTGCACAGCCTTAATGCCTCCTCAGTATCTTGTCTGCGGTTGGGATGACACTCCATTGGATTGGTCGCCGGCATGGCCGCAGTTTTGTGGCAGCCACTCGGCAAAGATGAGCCATAAATTAGTCGGAAACGGGGTCAGTTTTGGGAGGCAGGATTGCAGGTGGAAACTGTGGAATGTGTGTGCACAATGATTAACTCTTAAATCTGATGCCATTTGAGATGGACTTTAAGCCTTTGACTGGTTTAAGGGGAAATCAATTTCACAAATTCAATTTACTGTGGAGATATAGAACATGGTCTGGCTTAGAGCCAGTACACTAAGGGAAAAAGAGTTGGATTTGAGGGGAGATTTTATGAGAATTCATGAAACTATGTAAAGTACATAATATAATAAAAAAATATATTTCTTAGGGGATTTTTCATACATTTAACTATGTTTTTTTAGGTCTATAAAAAGCTTTAAATATTTCCAGAATTCTATAAAATCCTATAAATATTTCCAGGATTCCCAAGTCTTATATCCTTGTAGTTTTGATTTTTTCTGCCAAGTGCAGAGGCTCCTATTCAACGCAGGCTTCCCCAGAGGCCCAGAGAGCTATTCCTGCACAAAACAAAAATATAAAAAAGAAACAAGGCACTGCCATTGAATTCACATTCACGTTTTGTTTATTTATTTATTGCACAGCCAGTGCAGCATTGTTATGCACACCAAGGCAGACAAAATAAATACCCGGGCGCAGAACAATAAATTTAAAATCTAATTACGCGCACCATTTAATATCGGAGCGAAAGCGGAAACGGAAGTGGATGAGGGTGTACGTCGGGCAGCCAAAAATTTCGAACGTGAGCCAAGAGACTCCCCGGTGAATTTTGGCCAGGGAAAAAGAAATGAAGACCAAATCGAACACACAACATACACACACACAATACAGAGAGATAAGCCAAGGCACAAACACAGAACACAAAAACAAAAAAAATGCAATTAAAATTTTTGATAAGCTAACTGGCAGACGCAGCTCGAATTAGTTATCTGCCATTCCTGCTCTGCCCCCCAGAAAAAAAGAGAGAAATTAAATTGCCTGCGGTTGAGCTTTTGACTTGCGGGCTGTGTGGTGGTCAGTGTGGGGTTAAGCCAAAGGTCCTTGGGTCTCTCGGAATACAAATGAGTTTTCTTTGTTGCCCTCTTGCGCATGTAATTTACACTGGCCAGCAGAATAGGGGCATCAACCACATCCGCAACCAAATGGTCAACATTGCCCAACTTGTGAAAAATACATTATGGTTTCAAGTATTTAATTGCACACAATTTCTAGGGGGCCCCAAACAGGGATGGATATGTGTGGGTTCTGGGGGTTTTGCTTTAACCGAAAAAAGGACAACGGCTGGGCAAACAAAACGCAATTAAAACTAATAATTAATACGACAACAGGCACACATTTTCGGCAGTCTGCTCCCTGTTCGTTTTTTTGTATCCTGCCAGTTCGACTTCCCCGCGGACATTTGTCAAGTGGGTGACCTTCCCGGGGAGTTGGCCTAATAAAATTATGCTTAATTTATATGCAGGCTGCGTCATTTGACTGATGCCTACTAATGACTTCCTAACAATTTTTAATATCTATGCAAATGAACATAAATTGCTCGTCCTTGGCTTGGCCTGGGACACCTACTCCTCCCTACTCCCTACTCCCAATTATGTGGCCCTGGCTTCCCGCTAACTTTGGTTAACCGTTTAGCTGCCGCTGACCCCGCACAAGTAACCAAAAAAAAAAGCAGCAAAAAAGCTGAAAAAGCTGGGAATACAAGTAACACACAGCAAACAACAGCCAGGAGGCCCTGGCAACTGCTCTCTGGCGTTTAATTAAATGACATTATGGCCGCCGCTCTGCTTTTGTAGGCAGTGAAAAATTCTACAGCCCCCATTTCCCATTTTCCCTCGACCATTCTGGTTCCCTCAGCTGGCGGAATGTGTGCATTGGGAGCCGTATTTCAATTTTTGTGCGAACTGCGTCTAGTTGCTGTCTATTATGGCGAGGTCATTATTACGCTTATAGAAAAAGTTAGCCTTGAGATTATCTGGGGAGCGGTTGTCGGAATATTTTGCACCTCAAAAGGTGTGAGAAAATACAAGAGATTTCGTTTATCCTGAAGGATATATATTTCTTTTATATTTATACTTAGTTTTTGGGGATTTCCACAGGCATTTTCTTTGACTTAATATTTTCCAGGCTTTAAAACCAAACAGTTTTCAGCCAAGACTCTCTGGAGTCTGTTATAATTGCTGCATTTCTCATGCAGATGGCACACATTTCATATTCTCTGGACCCTTCTCTCTGCTCTGGCCAGAATTTGCATTGCAAATAATCATTTTTAAGTTGCTAATGATGGCAAAACAGGCCCAGAGTCGGCCTGGGAGAAATTAAATCATTAGTTATGCGTTGCACAGAATTAATGCGCTTGTAAAACGGATCCAAAGAACTTTTAATTGCAACTTTCTAGTTTTTTGTGAATCTGAATCCGAATCGGAATAGGAATCGGAATATGCAGAACTAAAACACTGTCCGTGTTTGAATATCAGAAATGCATTTGCCGATTGACTTTTGCCGGAGCCATCAAACTTGGCTTGTAGCTTTGGCTGCATTAGCAAAGTTTTTGCATTCGAGACATCCCCTCCGACGTCCGGACATCCCGGGGGTTAGGAATAACTTCAAAATGAAATCAAGCCGAGCTAGTCAAAACTTAAATTGCACCAAAGTTCAGGGGCCGTAGTCGTCAGGGTAACACGGAAATGCGGAAGTACGGGCGGCACTTGGCAGCTGCTGCTGTTCCTGCTGCTGCTCCTGCTCCTCCTGGCTTTGTAAATCTCTTGGCAATTTGCTGCAGCTGCCCCGGCTAAATTGATGCCAAATTGAATGTGTCAATTTCCATTCGATGTCATGCATTTAAATGCTTTATTTTTATTTGCCCAAACCGGCAGCTGCCGCCACTGGCAACAAAAAACAAGTGGCGAGCCCATTGTGATTGCAAAACAAATAAAAATTGTAATTAATCCCATATGTTGCGACATTGAATTTCTTTTCGAATAGATCATTAAGCCAATGCTTAATTTGTTTATATTTTAATGGATCAGAATACTAAATAAAATAAATACTTTTTAATTTATGGGAAAACGATGTATTTTTAAAAAGTATATAATTTAAGGCTATACAAAAAATTGGAATTAATAAAACTAAGATAATAATTCAATATTTTTTATGAAAAGAAATTAGGCTACTTATATTTTTAAGAGTTATTTAAGGATTAATCAGTAGTTCTTTAGACTATTTTTCATAATAAGAAAGTTATATTTATTTTATATTTTTTATAATTTCTTTTTTAAAGGCTTAATTTTCATAAAAAAAAACCATTATCGAAAACCCACTGCTCACTTAAAATATTATAAACAATTCAAAATAATCATTCCATCCAGCTGTTGCCGCCCTATTTATAGTACCATTTTTTATATATTTTCGTATTTATATTTATTTAAATTAAAATGCTCTCAATTTCCCAACTTTGGCTGCCCTATTTGAATAGTAATTAATAATTCAAATGCTATCCAAGCATATTTAATATGCGAAACTGCAATTCGCTGTAATGCCAAGTGAATGCCTGAAATTATAATATTTATTTAATGAATGCCATAAACATCTCGTAATAATTGCATATTTTTCCCTAACGAGCGACCACGCGGCGTATGCGCAATGCCTTCAATACTTCACAATCAACCGACCCCCCCTCCCCAGGAAACCTCCTGGCCGAAAAAGGATCAGCATAGTTTCAGCGCCATTCCACCTAAATGGCTGTATATTTTTATAATGCTTACACACATGCGCCATTTTGCGGCTTAAATTTCGAAAACAAACAAAAAATTTTTTGGCTCAGCATAAGCGGCTTACAATGTTAACTCTGGCCAGCACACACACACCGCACCGCATCAGGAAGATGTCTGTCGCTTGTTGGCAACTTATTTGCAGTTGGTTACCTGCAGTTTAACACAAATGTTTGAATAGCAAACTTTTTCCCCTATCTGGGCCCAGGCCAGGGCAAAAACCCGCAGCGATTATGTTTGGCGAATATTGGCTGTGAAAGGAATTTGCACCGAACAAAAAAACCGCAACGTGATCATAAAAAATCCAGCAGAGACTTATGTATTCTATGCTTAGTTGTAAGCCATTACAATGTTAAAGAACTTACTTTAAATATAAATATCCTTCGGTTTAGGCAAGCAAGAAGCCTTCAAATAATATAAAATTAAATATAAAACATATTTCTTGTATTTTTACAATTTATAGAAATATTTAAAAACATTGAAGAAATTTCTAAAAATACTTAACAACAATTAGAACGTTTTTAAAAATATTTAAAAGTGAGTTCCTTCAAAAAAAGGTAGAGGTAATGTAATAACCATTTCTGAAAATATTTTAAAATAAATTCTTTAACATAAGAAGTCTTTAAATAAAATAAACCATAATTTAAAATACATTTCATATCTCTTTAAAAATTCTAAAAATATTTTAAAACAATTAGAAAATTTTTAAAAATATTTAACAGCAATAAAAACGTTTCTAAAAATATTTAACAATCAAAAGAACGTTTCTAAAAATATGTAAAAGTAAGTTCTTTCAGATTAGGCAAACTATAATTTAAAATATATTTAATTTGAAATTATAAAAAGAATCAAAATCTATTTAAAACTCCCTTTTAAGAATCTCCCCCCTTTTGTCAAAACATAGAAGCCTCCGTCTTAAAAGTCTGCCTAGTTCAAGGACTGGAATGAGCATTATAAAAATATATTTCTCCATATATTTATACAGATCAATTCAAATTCATTGTTAATTTTTGTTTTAATTTACTCCCGAATCGTCAGCCGCAATGGACCAGCAAGGACAGGAAGTGCTTCCCCCCGAAGGCTGTCTCCGCGAGAATCAAAAGCGGGAACAGCGAGCCCGACTTATCAAGGCCCTGTGCTGCTTCAAGCCGCAGGATGCCAATCCGCAGCAGTTCTACAACTGCGTTCGGGAGCAGTGCATCATTCACAACTGCAGCATTGACGAGGGCGTGGAGCGGGCCACTGTTACCTGGCCGACACTTGGCAAGCTCCAGCGGGAGACCTATGATTCGGTAAGGTTAAGTCTAGTTTTTATCTCCCAATAAATATAGAAACGGATTTCCCAGCAACGTCATGCTGAGCTGCCCATACCAGTGCCGCGTCACCTCCTCTACCACGCCTTCCAAAAAGAGCGCAATGGCATGTGGTCCCTGGGACGCTCCACGGGTGGTGGCTACACCCTCGAGGCCTACAAGCCGCCACCAAAACCATCGAGAATGCAGACCCAGTTGCAGCAGAAGAGGCCCAAGTACGACAATCGGCTGGATCTGCCGCCCAAGGTAGCGGCCACTCATGTGCCGCCGCCACCAAATTCGAAATTTTCTAGGTAACCTACAGAAAATATTCTTTTTTTTTTATATTTTATAATAACTCTAAATATTCTGTGTAATTTAGGGCTTCACCTTCGTCTTCGCGCAGAATCCGGAGTCTCCTACCACCAACCATACAGCGGGTTCAGTCCATTAGGCACATTTTACCCAAGACAACACGACAGCTCAGGCAGAAAAAGCTGGAAAAGCTCTGCGCCCCGGTAACCGTTGCGGATCCCAAGGCATCCGGTGATGGCCATGGAACTCTTAAGAAAAAGCTCAGCAAGCGAAAGGGCCCCAAGGCCAAGAAGTTGACCAAAACCAAGGATCTGGAGGTCAGGACAAATGACCAAAAATTGAATGAGTCCATAGGCAATGTTCGTCGGCGGCTTATGATGTTTGGGAATCATAGGGTCTAGTTCGGGAGGCCATATTTGAATATTTGTTAGTGGGTCTCTGTAAGTTCTAAATTGAAAGTGAACCAAATTATTGTCGTAGAAAATAAAAAAAGAAATAAATTACAACTTGGAAATGGAAATCCTTTACTGTATTACAAGACCAAAGTTATAATACCTTTCAAGGACATCATAAAAGTTGAAGCCCAATGAAACATGACCAAATACCTGCACAGTCTCATTTGCAAAATCATTCTTTATTTGCTTGGAAATATAGCTTCAAACCCGAAAAACTAATTACAAAATACTGCCAGAGACGAGAGAGATATATCAGGAAATTGCTTCGAAATTACAATTAAGTTGGAAGCTCAATAACCATTGTGGGTCAAACTTTGCTCACCTGGAATTTAACTTGGTCCTGTCCCCACATTTTCTGTTAATTATGCATGCCAAGAGCGGCCTCTAGATACTTTTATCTACAGGTACATCTATCTAAAAACAAACTTCAAGCTTAAAGCCAAGGCTGCTGCGGTGGCCACAAATCAAATACGGCCACGCCCTCGTCATGGCAAATGCCCCGCGGTCGCCTTTTAAATAAATTTTCGATTATCGCGCACATTAAAGCAATAAAAATGTAATAAATTTTCAATCTGCACCTTAGTGGTGTCTCCTTCTGGTGGAGAGAGATTTTTATCGAGTTTCGTAAATCGATGATAAAATTAAATGAACTTTGCTGCCCGCTGTCTGCGATTGACAATGGCAACTTGAAATTTGCGCCGCGGGCGTTGTTTAGTTTTTCTCTGGTGAAGGCAATACACAGCTGCAATAACACGCATACGCACCGGAGGCCAAAGGGAAATTCCTTCGCCTTCGATTGTCTTTTGGCGGCCATTTTCATTTCCCTGAGGGTTTCGCCATTGTTTAGTGCCACAGCCACAGCCACAGCTTCCAGTCTCGGCTTGAATTCCAATTTTCATACTCGATTACCTTGCCCAGGCCTGGCCTATTGCCAGTGTGTACTACTTCCCTCTGTGTTATTGTAACCGTGGGCTCTCCTCTCCGATTTTTTTCCTCTGCTGCGAACCACAGCTCCACCGCACTCAATAAAGTTTTTGAACTGTGGAAAGGCAAACATTTTATTAAAAAACTTTTGTTTCACGAAAGAGGGAAGGGGAGTGGGAGTGGACCTTGAGGCCTGGGCGCAAAAGTTTACACATAGAAATATGATTTTACATTTGCTTTTAATTTTAACTCTTGCAATCATTTTTCGGCCCGGCCACCTTTTGCAGAAATATTAAAATAAGAATAACTTTTGCTTTTTTCCCCCCCCCAAAACAAAAGCCATAAATGTCGGCCCGTCCGCGTAATTGATTGTTGCACAAAAAAAAAAGAAAAACAGAGAGGAAAACAATTTAATAAAAACTTTCCGCGGGGCTCTACATGCGTCCTAGTCAAAGGGGAATATATGTATTTTGTGTTTGTCTCCCGGGGATTTTGTTGCCCAGCAGCACTGGGCGTGAAAAATTTAAATGCTAATGAGCTTTTAATTGCTCACTTCAGTCAGCCAACAGTGCGTATGAGTAATCTGCGAGAGTGTGTAAGAATTAATGAACCTCTTGAGTGTGTGTGTGTGTCCCAGGCAAAGATAAATCGTGCACATCCATCTCTAAAGCCTTCATGATGTTAATTACCAAACACACACAGAGCCACCGGAAATCTACAAGATCCTGGAGAGTAGAGAATAGGAAGTAGAGTCCTTGTAAGCGGGCGAATTCTAAATAAATGCACAACAATTGCAATTTCCATTGCAGCAACTTGATAAAAACTTTTCGTAGAAGAAAACTATTTGCTGCGGGGGGGCTGGGAAAGTGGGCGTAACTCTGGGCTAAACTAAACCCAAACAAAAACTTCCCAAAGGGGGGAGGAAAATCCGGTGTATGCGTGTGCGTGAGCAGATAAAACTTTTAATTAAATAATTAACAGGAATTGTATATGCATCGGTATCGTCCACTTGTTGGAGCCTGGCTCCTGGTTTCTGGCTCCTGGCTCCGATAGCCTCTGGCCGTAAACAAATACCCACACATTGTTGGCCAGCCGCTCGACCCACAAAGGTAACCAGCAAAAAGATTTTATCCAAAGATAGAAACTGTTTTCGGAATGGTTATACTTTAATTAATTATTGCACGAATGGAAATAGAAAGGGGTGTGTGTGTGCATAGCTGGGCTCTTTGTTTGTTTCTCTGCGTAAATAATTGAAATGGAAACGAAGTTTAATGGGAAAAGTTAAAGTTAGTTGCTTAATTGGTTGCTTTATAACAAAATTTATATAAAAAAGAATGTTGTGACTTCAAAATAATTGCTATATTTAAAGGAAACTTAAGGAGAAATATGTGAAAATCTAAGATTATGGCCATAGAATGTATAAATATTTTAAAATTAATCATAAAGCTTAATTAAGTTATTACTTATAAGGAAATCAGTAATTCTTTTGGTTAAATTTGACTTATCCTAGAATCTTTAAAGGTTTCCTGAAATTACCACCCATATATCCCTCTTCGCGTGGCATCCCTCACCGTAAATGCATACCCAAAATCTCCCTTGATGAGAGGCAGCTGGCATTCATGAAACCGGCAATATTCGCTGCATAGTTGCCAACCATTGACCGCCAGTGTGAGCCTGGCAATCACCATGACTATCGCCAGCATCAGCATCATCATTATCGTTATCCGGCATCGCAGCCGGTATGCATCATCTGGATGCATTCCTCGACTGCGTTTGCAACTGCATTTCGGCGGTTGTCGTTGAATTTGCGGTACGTTGATATGCGTAATAACGCAATAAATACAAATTAAACATGCTTGAGTGCAATTATGCAAATTAATGGAGTTTATAGGCCGCGACACGGATCCCTGACGCCGCAGCCCCATTGCCCATAGCCCACATAGTCCGTAGTCTGTGGCCCGTAACGGATTACGGACCGATTGCCGGGCACTAATCTCTTGTAATGAACGCAAATATGTAGAACACGGCGATAATCGCTCATGTTCACATTCAACAATAAAGTGCTTACGAGTGTAACCCATGACATCCTGACATCACAGACACACAGGATCGCTAATCGCAAATACAATGTTCCGCTGTCACGTTGAATTTAACGTTTGTCCCGTAAACATTTTCGATTTAGTCGCAGCAATTTCTCCTGTATTTTTTTGTAGCTTTTGATATACATATATCTATTTTTTTGCACGGCTACTAAACAAATACTCGCGCAAGTCGGAAGTTTTATGTCCATGTCCTGCGTCAGCGGCAGCTGTTGGTCCTTGGGCTCCTTGGGACAGGCGATTTCTTCTTAAATTTCTATAATTGCTTGTGATTTGTTGGCCACGAACGTGCCGGGCAACTGCAATTTGTTGGCACACAAGCACACATAAGCGGGGAATGCCTTGTAATAGGCACAGTCAAGGTCAAGAAAATATGGGAGAAATTATGGAATATATTTAAAAGTGAAAACTTATTTTTTAAAAATTTATTTAATATTATTTTTGATTATTTTATGTCTCAAAATAGTTAGTTTAAAAAAAATATAATATTCAATAATTATACTTTAATATTAAAACAAAAATGTAAATCCTTAAATATAATAAACATGTTTCCGTTTCAAAAACAGTATTGTTTTATACTTAAAATAATTTAATATATAATAATTGAATTTCTAAATATCTAAATATTTATAACTATTTGTAAGATAATCACTATTTTCTTTACCCAAACTGTAGCTTTACTTGCCCCACCTATAAACATACATTTGTCTTCTCCTATATAGATTTTGCTATATATTTTTATTTGTCTCACGCTTTCAATAATTGCCAGTATTACACGTGGCCCTAATAAATTAGTCTTGGACTTGGTCCTGGCCAGGATACTGCTGCTGCTGCTGCTGCTTTGTTGGCTTATAGCTAAACGAAAACAAGCGACAAACTTGCCAATATGTTTGGGCTATTTCGTCGCGTCACTCATACGCCCCGTGGTCGCGCGTCTCTCTCTCTCTCTATCTCTCTCAGTATATCGCATGACATTGTGTGTGTTGGCTTTAATTACGATTTTTACAGATATTTGCATAAAGCATTTACAAGGCATCCTGGCAGCTGGGTCCTGCGGCAGTTTTGAAGCCACATTAAAACTCAACCGCGATGCCTAAAATAATGCCATGTCGAAAATGCAAAATGATGCCACATCAATATGCCAGCCATTGCCGCCGCTCAATCACATTAAAAATTGCTGTCTGAACAGAGAACAAAAATCCAAAATCCAAAATGAAAATGAAAATGATGCGGAAATGGTCATATATAATGACTAAAATTCTCTGTGTCTCTGTCCCGGGCATTTTCTCTTCCGGATATTGAACGGATTTGAGCTGCATATGTGACGGCGCGGAATGATTGAAGCCATTGTCAGAATATTGAACGCGGGACATGGAAAACTTGTTACGGATATGGGAGGGGGACTTCCAATAGATGGCATTTCCCGAGCAAATAAACTTTTGCCTCTAACTAAAGGCATCAAATCGTAATTGTCGAGTGATTTGATATGGGAAGGGACACTGGGAAATTTAACTTTAATAGTTAGCATTGCATAAAAAAAAATTAATTTAAAAAGATATTACTTAAATTTATACACTTTTTAAATTGATTTTAAAAAGCTTATCCATTAAATTTAATATAATTAGGCACTTTACTTTTAGAATTTACTTTTAAACTTGAACTCAAATCGTTTAGCATACTTTTAGGCACCTTTTAAAATGATTTTAAATAACTAAAACTTAAAATTCAGGTTAAAAAGTTATTTTTAATAGAAATTCTTTCACTTCTATATACTTATTTCTCCCTCTGCACAATTGATAGTTCCTAAGCTAACTTTATGCTACAGTTTAGCTAAATAGAACAATTCCCTTCGATGACTTATTCAGCCTTTATACCGACATTCCGTCTGTAGTTGCGTTTTCAAGTGCTCTTCAGACAATGGCGGATTTTAAGAGGTTGCTCGCTTAATGGCACATTAACTCATCAAAGCAACCGCAATTCAGCCCCAGAGGAAAGTCAGTCACTTCCTCGCCCACTCTTTGTGATTTT